TGCACCTTTTCTGTAGAGTTAAGAGTTGAGTTTTACCCTTTTTGAATCCATTCAGCTGATCTCCAGGTTTGGAGCACTTTTAGCTTAACCTAGCTTAGCTTAGCATAAATCATTTAAACTGGATTAGACCATTAGCACATTGTTCAATTTAAAAAAAAAAATTAAAGTTTTCACTTTCCTACAGTTGCATCTTGTAGTAAGACTGAGAGAAAATGAAAAGTTGCTATTTTCAGCAGGATCAGTGATAATATATAATGCTGTTATTTAGCAGGGGGACAATTTTCATGCACTGCGTAGTATGAAAAAGTATAGTTCCTAGCCATACCAACCTAAAAAATAGGATTTTTTTTTTTAGCTTTATGTGGGGAAAAGTATCTCAGCTTTTTTTTTCTTTTGTTTGTTTGTAGTTTTTTTTTTTTTTTTAATTGAGCGAGATGCTAGTGATTTAATCCAATTCAATGATTTATGCTAAGCTAAAAGTGTTCCTGTAAGACCCGGAGATCAGCTGAATAGATTCAGAAATGGTAAAATTCATCTCCTTAATTTATAGGGGAGTTGTCAAATGAGCCTTTTTACAAAAAAATATAATAAGTAAATAAATGGTGGAGTGTTTCTTTAAGACTAAACTCAATTCAAGGTCATAGTGATATTGGCACAATCATACTACTGTGTTCTTTGCTTCCATCTTTTGTATGACCTGTAAATCTTCATTTGGCTTTCTTTCTTGAAACTGTGTTATACAATTGTACTTTTTGTTTTAGGGAAAATGGAAGAGCTCATCCTTGGGTTGATTCTTTTTGATCTTTCAGTTATCTTCCTAGCACTTCTCGGTGCTTATTAATTTATTTTTCTGCAGTTGCATGAAGGGAGCTCAGTTCATTATTATACTTTGCCTGCCTGTTGTATGACACTTCAAAAAGCGAAGGTTTGATTTATATTGAGTGGTTACCTTTTTATTTACATTTTTATACAATTGCTTTAAACTGCTATGCCAATGTGAGGCTGATTATATCTGGTGGATTTCAGTACTTTGTCTGTTTTTGCCTTTACTGTGCTCAAATTTAAGTAAGCTCGATGTAAATAAAACATTATCACAAGTCATTTTATGAAATGCTCATTAAATATTTATTTTCACCACACCATGAACACTGAAGGAAATGTGCATATATACAGCTGTGAAGAGAGAATATCAGGAGGCCTGTACCATCATAGCAGAGACAATACCATCAAAAGCCCTGAGGAAAGAACACAATTATGATTGATCAATGGTTGCATACAGAAAGTGTGTGTGGGTGCGTGCGTGTTCTCGAAAGAAGCTTACTTTGATTGAATAGGATCACCAGGATTGTAGAAGGGGTTACACATTACATCAGTGAAAGAGTTGTGCAGCTTTCTGAACATCTGAGGAAAGCAGAAAAAGCAGAATTCATAATCAATTCATTATAGCCCATCACACTTCTTCTTTAAAATACACACAAAATGACTACGCCACTCACACTTCTAATTTCATTATCTCGCAGAGATGTGTTTGAGGAATCAACAACAATCACAAACTTCACTTTCGAGTTTGTCACATAGCCATATCTGTAATTCTTGTTAAGATCGTGTTTATAATGTTTGAATGAAGTCACATTAAAATTAAGTCAAGTTATCATTAGACAAGTTATTATTAGTTCTTAGGATTTGGCATTGAAATGTGAATGTGTTGAATAAAATGTTCACTTGTATTTTTATAAAGTACCAATAACATCTTTAAAATGTCTAATTATATCATTTATTAGCACAAAAAATCCATATAAATTAAAACACAAATGGATTTCTATTTGTTTTCCTGTGAAAAGTTTGCTGACACACACACACGAAAAAACACTTAAAACCTTAGACATTCATACTAAATGACAGTAGTGAATTACCTTTCAAAAACTAGAAATTCTTTCCTATTTATTCACACTCAAGTGGTTCTAAATTTTTATGATTTTTTTTTTCTTTAGAGGTTAATTCTTCGTACCTTGCTTAAATGATCTAAGGTAATTTAACAGATCCTTGATATCTGGCTAATTTGGTTCTTCAAACTATTTTGTGAATCAAAATGAAATGTCTGGATGAAATGGTCTAAGTTTGCTGCTTGTGTTGTGAAGAACAGATCTATGGATCCCCGAAATCATGATCAGCAATGAAACGATTGGCTGATGGCACAGCAGCGTAATGACATCATCTGACTAATATTCAATTATCCACGTGAGCAAAATTACATAAAATTCATAGTAAACTTTTTACATATGGTACGCAATGACTTTCTAACTGTTGTGGGCTGCAGGCTTTAACATTTTAATTTGTCAAGAGTATTTAGCAGTTTATTTAGTTTACATTTTAGAGCAGATTTTCTTTATAATAGTAGCCTAGACCTGTTCACGTTTCTTAATCGGCATAAGATATAAGTGGCTGTTCAATTAATTTGGCATCAAAAGCGTTTTGATATCGTTAAAGGTGTCTGCAACTTTTGTGAAGCATCAAATCACTGCCATATTTGCTGTCAAAACATGTGTCTGACTGCATAAATTATTATTCCTTTAAAAAAAATGAAAATATTGGCTATACATGTCTATTACGATACACAAACCGTACTAAAGGTGGTACCTTATAATAGTACGCGTTTGTATCTAAAAAGTCCAAAATAATATGTTCTCTTTGAAGTCCTTAAGGAGAACCACCCCATGACAGTCTTTGACCTTTTAATTCAGTGTGCATACCCGAGATCGTGTCAAATCATCAATAACAAAATCTAGCTAATTGAGTAATTCTCATTTGGAGAACAGACCCCTGTTGAAGATATTTTGAGGGATGTTGGGGATTAAACATTCTTCAACGTTCTTCAGTATACTCCTTTGTTTTCAACAAAATAAAGATGCTCAAGCATGTTTAGAACAAATGAAGGATTAGTAAATGACCACTTTAATTTTTAGGTGAACACTGATATCTAAAATATCTTTGCTGTTACACAGAAATAAAAAGAAAATCATATTGTTTTGAAATAATGAGAATTTCCATTTTTGACTAAACTGCAAGACAATTGGATAATCTCAAAGTCTGACTTTAAGGATACACTTTGTAGTCTTCCGTCGGATATAAGAGTCCCAGATAAAGCTCCCTCTGGTCAGCCAGAGCTTTGCCCACTCCAGAGATCTTCTCCTCCACCACGTCCAGAGAAGTGTGCACTGTGTAGTGGAACTTCAGTTCCCCCTGGGTAGGGACACTCCGAATGTACAGTGGATAATTCTGCAGAGAACAATGTAATGTTAAATGGACAATGCACCCAAAAAAAGAGAAGAAATAATATCTCCCTCAGGAGTTTCCAAAGCTTTGATGCCTTTTTTTTCTCTTTTGAACACAATAAGATATTTTAAAGAACGTTGGAAACCAGTATCCATTTATATCGATTATAAGAAAAACAATGGAAGTAAACGGTTTCCAAGATTTTTAAAAATATCTTTTAACAAATTAATCTGTATATATTTGTAAATAAACATCAACTTGCCTAACGTCATCTGTTTGGTTGCAAAAGGCAAGCGTTAGTGATTGATACATGTGACACAGGATGAGAATGGTATTTACAATAAAAATAAAGTGCAATTGAGTTGTATTTTTTTTCCTGTATATAATACATTTTTCAGTAATGCGGTGAAGCAGTGTGTAGCACAATCACCTCACAGCAAGTAAGTCGCTGGTTTGCGCCTTGGTTGGGTCAGTTGCCATTTCTGTGTGGAGTTTGCATGTTCGCCCGTGTTTGTGTGGGTGTGCTAAAATTGTTCGTAGTGTGCGTATGGGTGTTTCCTAGTGATGGGTTGCAGCTGGAAAGGCATCCTGGATGCTGGATAATTTGGCGGTTCCTTCTGCTGTGGCAACCCCAGATGAATAAAGGGACCTAGCCAAAAAGAAAATTAATAATTTTTTTTTTCTCAATGAGAAACAATGACTAATATTTCTAATCCTAATTTGTAACTGTTTATTATACACCAAATAACCTTGTCAGGCACATTTAACCATCTGATGACATTAAAAGACTAATTTTTTTGTATGCTTTGTTTTTTACAATAAAAAAGATACTTTGATTAAGATATTTGTTTAATGTTTATACACACTTTTGTGAATTTGATTACATTTTTAATTTATAGCAATTTTTTTCAGAGCATTTCTACTGGACGCATGTAGATACATGCACAACATTTTTTCTGAGCATTTCTTCAATGCTTCAAAATGTATTTGATGTGCTTTAACCTTTTAACCAGCACAATAATTTATTTTGACCAATCTCTTGGATACAGTGTGATCCTGACACCACATTAAAAAGTTTTTGTTTTAATGATAACCAACTTAACCTCAATCAACGTACGGGTCTTTTTATTTATTTTTTAGCAGTCGTCCATGTTTTGTGTGACAACTCTACTACTATTGCAGCCCATCCGGTAGTGTGGCAACAACACTTTCTACACTAATCCACGCATGTTAGGGATATGTAGTTATACATAAACTACATTAATTTGTAACACACATTAGAATCTTAACGTTTTAAGAGTCTGACACGCAAAACCGACTCGGATCATGAAAAAAACACTCGTAAGGTCAAGCTTTAACGTTACAAGACATCACTCTAAAACAATTTAGGGTTGTGCAAAAACACCTCAAACATGGTTTCTTGTATCCTAATTACACCAGCACTACTTTAATTTCAACGTTTTCAATATTAAACTGTCAAAACACGCATGTAAACATTGAACGTCGCAATGTCTTCCCAATAGCGACACGTATCAGGAACTCTTCGTAAAAAAATCCACCAAATCTAAATAATTAATTGTGTCAGATTTAAAGTACCGTATGCTTCGATACATATTTATAAAACACATTTAATGTAAAATATATAACACGTTAGCATTTACCTCCTTTGCAATGACTGCTATGCACACCGCCATGATGACGCTACACCCCGCGATCACGTGACACGCGAAAGTCACATGATTATTAGTTTTATCGCGCTTGTGACAGTGTGCAATACTTCTCGTGATGCGAACAAACACATTTTATAATGTAGAACGCATAGTACTCTTTACAGTTCCGATTCCTGAAAGTTAGCATCTGTTGTGTATTTCACAAAGCTTTGAAAAGGGGTTACGATGTGTCTTCAGGCTGTCATCTGTGTGTTATGGACAGTATATGTGTGTCAGACTTCAGGAAGTCCAAACATCATCATCATGCTTATGGATGATGTAAGTTTTTCCCGTGTCTTTTAATTCAAAGTTTAACTGACCAACTGACTCAAAATCACTAATACACTTGCAGTTTGTTTAGATTATTTCACTACTAAGTGCAATATCTTTAAATATGAGAATGTTTCTGTTGTTCATATTCTGTTTTTAATTAGTAGTTTTATGTTATAATATGCTGTGTTTACCACAATATCGAAAACTATATTTTAAATGTTGACCTATTTGTCTGTTTTTAAATCAAAAATGCCATTCAGATTAACCCTGGGATGTTTTACACACAGTCGTACATCAGAATATGTACTGTTCATTAAAAATGTTGAATTTTATGGTCCAATTATCATTATTATGCTCATTAATATTGATTATATACAACTGTCGAACGTAGTGTGAGCAACACTAAGGTCTTTGATTCAATTCCCAGAGCTTGCTTGAATTGAACTGCTGTTTGAGATTGAGGTAAAGTTGGTTTTATATTCACTCATTCAGATTTTCTTCTTAATAATATAATTTCAGAAAATTATTCTTTGCTAATTCTAAACAGTGAAATCATATTAGCAGCCAATGACTAGTACAACATATGGTTCACAGTCAAGTAAATGGTGGTAATGTTGTTTTGAAGTCATACCTACAAGTGATTCCAGGCTGAATATTCAAAGTACCATGGTAAACAATATAGGGAGCATACCACAAGTTGTCACTGAACAAATGTGCGAATTTAAAACCATTCATCCATTCATTCATTTTCTTTTTGGCTTAGTCCCTTTATTAATCCAGGGTCGCCACATTGGAATGAACCACCAACTTATCCAGCACATGTTTTACGCAGTGGATGCCCTTCCAGCTGGAAGCCATCACTAGAAAACATCCATACACACTCATTTACACACATACACTACGGACAATTTTGCCTTCCCAATTCACCTGTACCATGTCTTTGGACTTGTGTGGGAAATCGGAGCACCCGAAGGAAACCCACGCAAACATAGGGAGAGAACATGCACACTCCACACAGAAATGCCAAATGATGCAGCCGATGCTCGAACCAGTGACCTTCTTGCTGTGAGGCGAACGTGCTACCCACTGCGCCACCGCATCGCCCAATATAAAACCAACTTTACTTCAATCTGTTTGTGTGTGATAAATAAATGGTTGATTGCTTTGGGATTTTGGATAGAAGTGTCTGTCCAAGATTGTAAGAGAAGCAGATCTTAGCTAAACTGTGGATTAAAGATAAATCATCCCATTTTGGTGTTCGCATTTAACATAATTTTACAAATGTGATTTTATATGCATGAAAAAAATAACTCAAATGCAAAAAAAGAGTCAACTTTTATATTTTGAATAAGGTTTGCAAGAATGGAAATAACAAATGTGAGTAAAATAAAGTTTCGTCATCTTTCAGCATGAATGTGGAAATGAAACGGCATTGTTAAAATATATCCAAAAGTATGTGGTCATACTATATTTAAAATGAAGATATTTTTTTCTGGCAAATGGTTGAGACTTTGTGGTTTGAAACATAATATACATAAAGATTTAAAAACAATTTTAGGAATCTGCTGAATATTTCTTATTTAAAACTTGCGTCACAAGGTTGTGGTATTGTTGGTAAAGTTGAGTATTATAAAATAGTATAAACTGTTATTGGACTAAATTAGATTTCAGTGTATGACTATGTTAAAAATGAAATTATGGTAAAAATGCCCTTAGATATTATATACTCATGATGATTATATATATATATATATATATATATATATATATATATATATATATATATATATATATATATATATATATATATATATATAGACACACACACACACACACACATTTTTTTTCCTATCATCATTTAAACTTCTTTAATTTTCCACCTACTGCATCTTTTTGTGTAACGTGTGCCTTTTTACTGTACATATTTATTATCTATGTATGTGCAGACTGTATGATTGTACATGCAGACATATATTTACATCTATGCTGTCTTAAAGAAAATGTATGGCATTGTATTTTGCACTGTATTATGTTTATTTGTATCCTGTTTATTGTCTCAAATGTGTTGCTGTATTTTGCACTGTCTAGAGCCTGCACCTAAGTTATTCACCGATTATGGCACATGTGCTGCTGGCGATGTGACAATAAAAGTGATTTGATTTATGTGAAAGTATGTGAATTGCAAAACTGGCTCTATTTATTTCTTGTATGCTTTAAATGTACAGTGCTCAGCATAAATGAGTACACCCCCTTTTGAAAATAAATATTTTTATTCATTTCTCAGTTAATAGAGCCAATATATTTTGATGCATTTAAACAAAACATTAGTTATATCCATTAAAATAAGAGTTTGGTCACAGAACATCATTATAAGAATAGAAAGATAATACATTTCAATTCAATTATTGCAAAAAAAAATTTGACTAAGTTTTATATATAGATTATATATTCTTATGTTTATCTTGATTTTCCTGTTTATTATGAATTAATTTCATACTCATTTGCAGCATATTAATTTGGGTGTACATTTGTTTAATTAATCTAATGTTTTCACAAATATAATATTGTAAGGCTTAAAGCTTGCGCTGCTATTCTGAACCAATAATCGAAAACAGAAAGCAGTTGAAGGATAGCGTGTTTAAATCAATGATTCATCTGACTCCATTGTAATTAATCTGACTCCATTAAAGTTATGTTTAAATATACAGACAGTAGAATGAAACAACGTAATACACTGTATAGAGAAACTTAGCTGTAACAAATGCACTGCTGTGCAACAAGACAGTAAAACTGCCTTTGTTAGCGGATGAGGCTATTGATGTGTGGGAGTGAGACAGAGTGATCAACACTTACTTTTCCTTATATTTTGAGCAAAGCATTTTTAAGGTGAAATATCTACCCCCAAATCCAGCTGAACATGAAAGCAATGTTGAGGAGATGAAGTGAGGGAGACAGACAGGAGCATGTACTAACATACTCTCCTTTGACCATGATGACTCAACAATAGTAAATGGATTGTATATTGATATGCAATAATGTCTCTGTTGATTTCATCACTACAATGATTAAGTCATAAACTGTTATATGAGAGAAGATCACGAGCAGATGAACTGTATATAGTGAAAAGCATGTAACTTTTGTATGCAAATGGCAAAGATGTGTATTAGACCTGTGAGGAACTCTGCCACACCATGAGGACTCATCTTGTACTCGGAATGTCCAAGTAGTCTTTCATTAGCATATGCTTAAAATATTGTGAAACATCCTATAGAAAATATTAACTCAAAAGAGAGACCCGTGAAGGGTGTACTCATTTTTTCTTACCTCTTTATATGTTATTTTATGCTATAGGTTCTTGTATCTATGTTAATTGTATCACACACAAGCAAAGCTTCAAATAGGAAAGTTATAAAGAAAAAAAATAAAGTGTTATTGAAGTTTCAAACTTTGTCAATCTACCAACTTTAGTTTAAATATTTAAATCACACAGAGATTGATATTAAAATTTTCTCCATAAACTGGAAGTATGCTCATGACATATTTTGTCTTCCTCCACAGATGGGATGGGGGGATTTGGGAGTATTTGGGGAGCCCTCCAAGGAAACTCCATACTTGGATCTGATGGCTGCTCAGGGAATGCTGTTCCCAAACTTCTACACCGCCAACCCTCTGTGTTCCCCATGTAAGTGCTGCTTCTACACTGTAAAAATATCCATATATTAGCAGTTTTCCATAATTTGTGGTTCATGTTTTTATCTTTTATGCTTATTTATGCTTTTGAATTGCCTTAATGGACCTTGATCTTTCCGCCAACAACTTTTAATCTTAACCAATCTGAAAAAGTGACTTTTATGAACATTTTTAATGGTTTAAAATAATATAATGTCTGGTTTGGTGGTATAAAAACCTTTTAATATACTGCCAGTATACATTTTCTGTTATTTTGCAGACTTATTTCTGTATTATTCCTTATACATTATTTCAAACTGCCAAAATGTCAATAAAAGTCACTTTGTTTAACGGTAGAGTTGCATTTTCAACATCAAAAGTGGACAGAGCAAAGATCAACATCCCATAATGCAATTCACAACCGTAAATAAAAGGAAAACACTGGTGAATCACAAAATATGGAAACTGGTAATTAACATATTTTTAGAGTGTAACCTTACCTTTATCTCTTTATCACACTGCTTTTGTTCTTGAGAGGAAAATTAGCATAGTGCTTACTGTACAGTACTGTATGCTCCCTGCGATTAAATCCCTCAAACTGTATCCGACCACAATGCACCACTTAATAATTTAGATTTAGGTAATGCCTCGGAAATAAATGCACTGTAGTTATTTGTTTTGCCAGTTCAAGCAAACCATGAAGTACAAAAAGATGTGTTTGTTTTCAAATAGATTTATCATATACAGTTTAACCGATTTAGTTCATTCATCTGGGTATTTCTTGCCATAGAAAATTTGCATACAGTGTGCATAATGTTCAAAATAAAATGTAGACAAATGTGTAGACACTCTGCTTGCTCAGTCTACTTATTTAAAATCTATTTTTGGTGGATAACCTAATTGTTTATGTTAAATTCATTTAAATTTGCAATAACAATTAAGTTAACTTAATTGATTTGTGTTAGGACTACATGAAGGTATCATGTGGAACCCACCATTTTTAATAACGTGTTAAGGCACTGAGAAAATAATCAATGTTTATGATGTCAGAGTTATCATAAAAATGTAGTAATTTAACACACACACACACACACACACACACACACACACACACACACACACACACACACACACACACATATGGCTTTTTTGGCTTTTATATATATAAAACAATTAGGGGCCTAAAAAAATGTAGAGTTAAAGAATCACTAGACTGATGAAGGCTTATGGCCAAAATGTTGTTTGTTTCACTTCTGTGATTCCTTTAATAGATAACGGAGTGCGGACCTCCTTTGTTTGGTACTTGTCATTTAAAGAAATTTGGTCACAGCATCAAACTTATCTTGTAGAGCATGGCGATTTAGATTTGAAACAATTGACTGATATAGGAAAAAGACAGCAGTATGAATCAATGAATGTATTCGAAAATAAAATAAAACAGTTACATGTTAGGGCTGTTCGGCCCCATGGCTGTAATTGACCCCAAGTCACTCAATCTGGCCCTATTTACAAAACAGACAAGCTTAATATAAGTGATTACAATATAACGGCAAAAACATTTACAAGCACAGGTGTAAGACTTCAGAGCTGGACAAGCACCCATGTTTTCAGCTCGCTTGTGTTTTAATGTTTAATTACAGCCAGTCATATCTGACTGTATTTATGTGACATCCACAAGATGTTCATTTTGACAGCAGTTTGTGAAATGTGAAAATGAGGCTTTGCCATAATAATAATAATAAAGATTTTATTATGGATTCACAATCACATCATGTAAATAATCAATTTGTGTTTGGACAACATGAAGGAATTAAAGTGGGTTAAACATAATACAATTAAGTTGACCTCCAAAAAAACTATAATTGAGTTGATACAGCTCATTTTATATGCATACCTGTAGTTTGGACAATCAGCAAACAACATTTTTTGTGTGTATAACACAATAAATTCTGCTTAATTTTACATCAATTTAGTGTCTCATTGAGCAAAAGTGCTATTATTTTTATTAAATAAAATTATTTATTTTGAGTGTAAATAAATACACACCTCACAAATCTCTCTTTTAAATTAATATTTTCTAAACACTCAAAAAATATTTTGCTGTTTGCTCAAACTACTTATTTAAAATGAGCTGAAACAACACAATTGTTGAGATTTTAGGGGGAACAACTTAATTGTTTAATGTTCAATCCAATAAAATTTGTTAAGTTAACTTAATCATATTGTGTTGGGATGACAGAAATAAATTGTGTGAAACCCTGCATTTTTTTTTACTGTGTAGAAAAATGTAAAATACATTAGATTAGTGTTACATAGGGAGTCGAAGTGACAACAGAGGTGAGGATCCAAATGCAGTTTAATAAGAGTCAGGCAGGCAATGATCAAAACAGGAGCAAACAGAAGCATAAGGATAATTCAAAAGTGTAGCCACCAGGCAAAATGGTTGATACAGCCAGCAAAAAAACATACATGAGAAAACAAAGCACACCAAGTGTAGACCGCTCAGAAATGTTACAGCAAACAAGACTCAGCAAAGTCAAAGACTATAGAATACACAAGACATGTTACTCGTCTACTTTTGAATGAGGAAAAGAATAACAGTCAATATGGCGAATGAAGCCCCGCCTTCAAATACAGGAGCCAATCAGCTATCGCTTTATTGTAAATAAAGCCCACCTTCAAATACAGGAGCCAATCAGCGATCGCTTTATTGTGAATAAAGCCTACCTTCTAGTACAGGAGCCAATCAACGATCGCTGTAAAATTACAATTTTGCGGGGGAAGGGCTTAGACCAGACGTGAGTTTCTGCAGATTTTGTGTGATACAAACATTTAGAAAATAAACTAAATAGACAGTTGTTGTTTAATTTAATTTGTTCTTCGTTATGTAAAATGTTTCCGTAAGCTGGGCAAGTAGTTTTGGAGAATTTGATGTTTCCCCATTCAAACAGTATGCCCGAGCATATTGCCCGAGAGGCGGTACAAAGATTGCCCCAGGTAAAGTGACTTGTCTTACGATTTGACAAAGTCTGTTTGTGTGTGCTGTTTTATATGGTCCAGTTGATTAGTCCACCATAAGCTTCTAGTTGTGTGTGTTATCAGGGGAAACCAGGAACTGGTGTGTCTGAGATGCACGATGGGTGTTGTAGTTCATTTAATTGGCATATGTGTAGCTATCCAGCAATCTGCACTGGCTAGAACGCTGGTGATCGTGATAATTAGTCAGTATCAAAGCCAAAACTGCAACTAATCTAACATAAAAACTGAAGATCTAAGACCAAAAATTAACACACTTAAATTAATATGATAAAATTTTGTAGTTTATAGCATTATTTTTGCAATACATAATTTCAATTTAAATACATTATCTTTCTATTTTTAAGGATGTCAGATTTCTAAGCTCTTATTTGAATGGATATAAATGTTTTATAAAAGTGATTTGTTTAAATAATCCAAACATTTATTGACAATATTCGCTGAGGAAATGTGACATGAATTTTCAAAAGGGAATGTATATATAAAAGAGAGAGAGATTTTTTTGTTTTGTTTTGTTTTCTTCTGGTAAAATTTAGTTTGCGGTTACCTTTTAAATAAATTTAAATATATTGAGGTAATAATTTGTCATTCGAATTATAACATTGTTCCCATTCTTTCATTGTTTTTGCTTTTTCATCCAACTGAACAAAAAAAAAATCCTCAAATTCTTCCGCAGTCTTTTTAATTCCACATGAGAGCTCGAGACGTGTGTGTCTGCATGATAGTGAGAGGACAACTTATTATGCTAATATGGATAATACACCAACAGGACTGAAATATGCTAATTATGCATAATTTGGGAATTTGAATAGACTTGCTATGCAGAGCGGCTCCTCTTTTTCAATTCTAATTAATTTTTAAGCAAATAAGGCTTAATCAATTGTTGATCTGAAATGTGTGAGATGAAGGTGCCCGGGAGCTCTGCTACCTGCCGCTGTACAGAGACGTTATTATAGAGCTTTGCTTCGGAACTTAATTAGACTTTTAATCACAAAGTAGATAGAGGAGAACTTCCTAATCAGAATATCCAGGGTGAGCTCTCTCATGTCCAGCGTCTCTTATTCTCTGCTCTCTCCATCAAAATAAGTCTTGAAAATACCACACGTTTTACATTTCAGAAAATGTAAACATGTTGTGATTGAGCATATTGAACCTTGGATTAGATTTAAATATGGACTGCTTATAGGCACCCAAGACTGCCGTAAAGGTGTTTTTGCATTTTATGTTTGTGATGTTTGCTTTTGCATAACAATGTACAACAGGGGTTTTAAACAGGGGTCTTTCGGGATGCATTAAGTGAGTGATGAGGTCCATACAAAACAAGACACACACACACACACACACACACACACACACACACACACACACACACACACACACACACACATACACACATATATGTATATATGCATGTATTAATTTCCCAAATAATGAACAAGGAATTTTTCACAGTATGTTCTTCAGGAGAAAGTCTTATTTGTTTCATTTCGACTAGAAAGAAAGCTGTTTTTATTTTTGTTAAACAATTTTAAGGTCAGTATTGTTAGCCCTTTGAAGTTAATATAAATTAGTGATATAAATATATTAATACATATAAAAACTATACAGGGGGGCTAATATTTCAGGATGGCTAAAAATTCTGATTTCAACTGTATAACACTGGTGTGAAAAAAAAACTAATAAATATAAAATGGTAAATAAAATTATCTTATAATTACAGTCATTCTTAAATAATCCAAAAGTTGGTAAAATAATAATAATAATAATAATAATAATAATAATAATAATAATAAAAACGATTACAAATTAATACAAAGTAGATTTAAATGCTCATCAAGACTTGGAATTTAATTTAATTTAATTTAATTTAATTTAATTTAATTTAATTTAATTTAATTTAATTTAATTTAATTTAATTTAATTTAATTTAAATCTATTTTTTCCAGTGTAGACAGACGCTTTAAAAAGTCAGGCAACAATATTTCTGCTTGTGGGACATATTCAGCACATCGGGTAAATAGCAGAATACTGGTGTAGTTTTAGTTACTTCAAAATTGATTTATTTCACTTTAATACGAATGTCACTGTTGAATGACGCAGCTCCATTGTGTACCTTGGAATTTATTTTCATATTAAATTCATCAAATTATGGTTCATTTGAATTTACAAATTCAAAATTCATTCACTCAAAGCGGATGCCCTTCCAGCAGCAACCCACTAATGGTAAACACCCATACACTCTTACATGCACATACATACATCACTGCGGCCAATTTTTATTTTACCCAATTCACCTATATCGCATGTCTTTGGACTGTGGGGGACACCGGAGCACCCGGAGGAAACCCACGCGAACAAGGGGAGAACATGCAGACTCCACCAGCGACCTGCTTGCTCTGAGGCAACAGGGCTAACCACTGAGCCACTGTGTCACCAATTTACAAATTATGTTGTTTAATTTTTTATTTTTTGCAGAAAATCATTTTAAAAATCTACATATTAGTAATATTTCATAATATAACTCGTTACTATATGTTGTTCAGATAAATGCCTTGTTTAGCATTTACCTAAAACAAACAAACTTAATGGTGACGTGGTGGCGCACTGGGTAGCACGTTTGTTTCACAGCAAGAAGGTCGCTGGTTCGAGACTCAGCCGGGTCAGTTGGCATTTCTGTGTGGAGTTTGCATGTTCTCTCCGAGTTCGTGTGGGTTTCCTCCGGGTGCTCCAGTTTCCCCCACAAGTCCAAAGACATGTGATACAGGTGAATTGGGTATGCTAAAACTGACCGTCGTGTATGAGTGTGTGTGTGAATGAGTGTGTATGGATGTTTCCCAGAGATGGGTTGCAGCTGGAAGGGCATCTGCTGCGTAAAAACATTTGCTGGATAAGTTGGCAGTTCATTCTGTTGTGGTGACCCAAGATTAATAAAGAGACTAAACCAAAAAGAAAATGAATAAATTAATGAAACAAACTTCATTAGAGTTTTTCTAAATGTAGGAAGGTGTTTTATATTCGATAACCGATATATAATTTGTGTATGTTTCACAGCAAGAGCTGCTCTGCTAACGGGAAGACTTCCAGTGCGAAATGGGTTCTACACCACCAATGCTCATGCTAGGAACGGTATGATCATAAACCATTTTTTCAAGGATGTTATGGCTTTGCATTTAAAAAATGGGTAACACTTTATTTTGATGGTCCATTTGAGTATTATTAGACTGTCTGCTCAATGTCTGTTGATACTGCTCCTTCATCAGACATTTAACTGACTAAGAAACTTTGCAAGTACATGTCAACTTACACTAACCCTAACCCCAAGCTTACAGTCTACTTATAACCTTATGAGAAATAATTGTCATGTAGATGCAATTTAATTTATATTCAACAAACGGACTATCAAAATAAGGTGTGACCAAAAAAAGTTGTCATAATAGAAGTTAATGGAGCAAAAACAAGTATAAGGTATCGAAAGGGTAGTAAATTTGAACAGTACACAAGGGCTCAAAAAAGTGTTACAGAATTGACATGAATTAAACTATCCTTTTAATGTTGTACTCCTATATTCTGGTTACTCTGTCCTCCAGCATACACACCACAGGAGATAGTAGGAGGAATATCTGCAGATGAGATTCTGCTTCCAGAACTCCTTAAGAACAAACACTACGTCAGCAAGATTGTTGGAAAGTGGTGAGTTTTCCTTTTTCTCAGAACAAAGACACAGGCTGTAATCCAAGATAAAACTGTATTCAAAAGTAAAACGTTTGAGACAGGGTTCCCACGGGTCATGGGGATTTCTGAAATATTGTGGAATTTTAAAAGGTCTACGCCAGACATTGAAAATCAGGAACTTTTATATATTATTGTTCATGTAATAAAGACTGGATTTGACTTCCAGCTTATCAAAATATATTTTTCTATACCCTGTTTGTTAAACCCTTTGTTTTGTGTGTTTGCACATTGTTAGGCTGTTTTTCACTTGATTCATTTATAGTCATTTTATTATTTTCCCAACTTCAATCATAAATAGTCATCAAGCTGTATGTATTAATTATTTGTTGATTATTTTAGTCTTCACTGTAAAGAATATTTGTAAATTTTACAGTTTATTTTTGCTGAATTGAACATTTTGAATAGTTAAAAGTGATCTAATGCTTGGGTTAGCGTTGAATATTATTTATTATATTATTACCTTGTAATAAACTGCTTTTTACAGACTTATTTCTCTATGTATTATATCTTGTACATTATTTCAAACTGCTAAAATGTCAATAAAAGTCACTTTGTTAAACTCTAGAGTTGAATTTTCAACATCAAAAGAGTCAGAGCAGAGATCAAGGTCCCATAATGCAATTCACAGCCATAAATAAATGGAAAAACTTATGTAAATCACAAAATATGGAAAGTGTTATTTGACAGATTACAGTGTGTAATTCTTAATTTTGCAGTACCTTTTCTCCAAATTTGTAATTACATTTTTCTGTAATTTATATAAAGGAACAATGAGTTCTCTGTTTCATTTCTTTTACTAAAAAGAGAAAGCATTCATCCATATATTTGCCTTCCAGCTTATCAAAATATATATTTTCTATACTCTGTTTATTAAACTTTTAAGTGTTTGCGCATTATGTTTAGGCTGTTCTTCACTTTATTAACTTGTTGTCATTTTATTCCTTTCCCATCTTCAATTAAATATTGTCATTAGGCTGTATTTGTCAGTTATTTGTTGATTATTGTGGCCTAAACTGTCAAAAAATATTCGTACATTTTACAGTTTATCTCTGCTGAATAGAATATTGTGAGTAGTTTAAAGTGATATATTGTTTGGGTTGGTGTTGTATATTATGGTACAAAAACCTTGTAATAAACTGCCTTTTACAGACTAATTTCTCTATATATTATATTTTATACTATATATGATTTCAAACTGCTTCAATGTCAGTTAAAGTCACTTTGTTTAACTCTAAAGTTGAATTTTTAATATCAAAATGTGAAATGTGAATCACAAAATATGGAAAGTGTTATTTGACAAAACTCTGCAGCGCCTTTTCTCTTAAAATTTGTCATTTAATTTTCCTGTAACTTATATAAAGGGAACAATGAGCTCCCTGTTTCTATTCTTTTACCAAAAAAAGAGTGTTTATCCATTAATTAAGCACATAAAGCCTATATTTGATACCTGAATAAATCTAAATGATCAAAAGTAACAAAATTAAATGATTTTAAACAATAGCATAATAAAAAGCATGTAAAATAACACATTTTAGCAATGGATGCTACAAACAAAGCCTTGTTCTAATAGGCTTTGGCTGAATGCATGACGTGATAATGTCATAACAATAATAACGCATCTAAAGCTGGTCTAATGATAAGCACAGTGCCATGGCGTGTCTACTGTATGACAACTCAGGGTATCGCACGCTGGTGATGGCTATTTTAAATTGTCAATTTCCTCAAATTTTGTAAATTCTGCTCAACACAGCAGCTCCCTGTTTTTCTGTTCATTTACAAGGAATGTAAATTCAACTTTTTAGTCTGTGAAGGTCAAGTAAATGTCAGGGAATTTGACATTTGTAGGAATCTTGAGTAAAGTGCATTTTAATTCCACAGATTTATTTTTTTATTAGTCTAATTTTCTGCTTGACAGGATAAAAAAAACAATGACTCAGAAAAAAAAAAAAGTATTTTCATATTGCTTCTAGTTCATTGGTCACTTTTGTAATCACATTGCATTATGGCATCCAGTTCCATCTAATGTCCACTTGTTTGAGAAATATAACATCTTGAGAAATTAAAAGGCAGAATGTGTCCAAAATAATGGAGAATGTGTTATATTTGAGGACATGGTCACATCCAAAAAAGAAAACTTTAATAAATTATCCGCATGTTAAGTCATGACTCATCAGTGACGTGTGGAACACTGTTCTCGGGTCCAAACTGCTACTCATTTGAATTGAGAAAATATGTTCGTTTATGGCCGCTTTTTGGTCCTATAACACATTAAAGTTTATTTTATATAAAATCATGGTGTACACATTTGTCTCTGGGCTTGCTGTATGACAAATATCAAAATTTTAACAATTTATAAAACATTGATTACTTTCTGGTCATGCAATATTAGACATGGATATGAGTATTGCGATTGATCGTGATCTTCAAAAGTGTTTCAACACTTTGTAAATGTTTATTATTTCCATTTGTTGAGTCTCCCCATGCAATTCCATAGAAGCTGCTTCGCGTGACGTTACACTTAACAACCGGATTAATTAATTAAGTTGTTCCAATTTCTTTCTTATTCATCTTTGGAACACAAACTAAGATATATAAGATGAAAGGTATTTAGAGTTCAGGTATTTAGAGTCTAAAAAAACTAACCACAACTCAAAGAAAAACCAAAAACAAATTTGTCAAAATTTTCTATGTGACTTCAGTGGTTCAGCAGGTTCATATAAAGCTCCAAGAACATTTTTGTGCACCAAAAAAACTGTCAAATATACTTTATCTGTTCTGCATCAGATTGTGGTGTACATTTACTATCTGCAATTTTTTAATCAAATATTTTACATTATTAATGACTATATGTAACACTGTCCATTGTAAAAACACACCCTAACTGACATAGGGAGTTTATTCATTTTCTATTTGGCTTAGTCTCTTTATTAATCTGCGTTCGCCAAAGCAGAATGTACCGCCAACTTATCCAGCATATGTTTTACGCAGCGAATGCCTTTCTAGCTGCAACCCATCACTGGGAAACATCTATACACACTCATTTATACTCACACTCATACACTACAGACAATTTGGGTTACCCAATTCACCTATAGCGCATGTTTTGGACTCGTGGGGGAAAACGGAACATCGGGACATGGAGAGAGCATGCAAACTCCACATGGAAACACCAACTGACCCAGCCAAGGCTCAAACCAGCAACCTTCTTGTGAGGCGACCCACTGCGCCACCAGGACACCCGAAATAGGGAGTTTTTGCTCGAAAATTAAAATTTATTCACCCTCAAGTGGTTTCAAACTTTTATGATTTTCTTAATTTTTGTGAACACAAACCAGGATTTTAAAGAAAGCTGAAAACTGGTAGCCATTGACATCCATGGTTTGTTTAATACTGCATTTTTTATCTCTCCATAGTTTTGACTGAACAGATTTCAAATGAAAGAAGATAAATTTGAAATATTTGATTGCGAATTTGTTCATTTGTGTTCTGAAGTTTAATAAGTTTCTTATGGGTTTGGAACAAAATTAAGATGAGTCAATGTGACAGAACTTTGGAGTAAAACATACCATACAGTACATGCTGCATACTGTCTTACTTGGTGACTCTTTGTTCTTCATCTCCTATACTGTATCTCAGGCACCTTGGGCACAGAACTCAATACCTACCTCTGAAACATGGCTTTGATGAATGGTTTGGTGCACCCAACTGCCATTTTGGCCCCTACAACGACAGCTCCCGTCCCAATATACCTGTCTACAACAACTCTGAAATGAAGGGAAGGTGAGGTACAAACATAAAGCGTTTTGGGTTCTTGCCGATAACACCTTAAAGGTTTTAAATGTCATCATATTTTTTAAGAGACATGCTAAGTTAACATACTTGTTTATCTTAAAAGCAATGATGCAGTTGGTTATTCTGCTTTGAAAATGTGCTTTCCGTGTCTGAATGTCTGACATTGTTTTAGTCTGTATAACCCATTTACTACAAGTTTAATATATTTCAGCACCCCAGCTTGCCTTGATGGAAAACATAGCATATTTAATTATTTTAGCTTTTATTAAGTTAGCTGAGCCTATTAAAAATCATTGGATGCAGCTCAGATTGATCTCATCTATCTGGCAACCTGTGTGGGCATTGAGTTGCAAGGAAGGGGTCAGATGAAAAAAAAACCCTCTCCAATATTAGAAATTTGGACTGCAATACCTAATCCAACCACTAGGTATCAATCTGCACCATTAAAATCTGCATTAAACAGAGGTTGCTGAGATTTATTACAGTATGTTGATGCACTTCTAACTGAAGTAGACTCTTTTGATAAAAGAGAAGTACTGTGTAAAATGGTACATAACCACTCTGTGTTTACGGTTTGTGTGTGTGCATCACTAGTTCCACTTTCCCTTTGTGGAATAACAATGCAGTCTACTGCCCCCTGTGTGTATGAAAAGGTATCTTCTCACGCAGACACAGAACGTGTCAGGTTCATGTGTTCTCTCACAACTATTTGGTCCAGACAGGAACAGATTCAGCGGATGTGAGACGATAACACAATCACTTTTCTTCACTGCTATTTCTCCTATTTCTGCTTGGTGTCTTTAAGAAAAAAACCAAAACAACATATGATCAACATTCTGGTCTAATGGTTGTGAATAGACAAGCAAAAATCTTACATAGAGGGCTCTATTTTAACGATTCAGGTGCAAAGTCTAAAGTGCATGGTGCAAAAGCATTAAGGGTGTGTCCGAATTCACTTTTGCTATTTTAAGGATGGAGAAATATGCTCCGCACCATGGCGCATGGTATAACAGGATTAGGGTCACTTCTCCCAGTCCCTTTAAGAGTCAGTTGCATCGCGCTATGGTGCATTTGCTATTTACATGGCACACTTTGTAAGAGGAAAATCTGAACCTTCACTTGCAAGAAAACAGTTGAACAGATCATCTGCAGTGGAGGATGCAGAATGAGCCTCCTCCATTTGGCCACTTTACTTTATCATCACTTTACTTATACTCTTCACTTTACTCCTTTATTTTCGTGGATAAGGAAACAGTTGAAAATCACTCCACTGAGGCCATCCATTAGCCTACATATTTAATTTACTTTGTTAAGCACAAAGATTTGTTTCAAAACTATTTTTAAATTCAGTTTTAATTTCCAGCAAACAAATAAATGAACAATAATAACGACATGTGGTCAAAAAAATATGTAGTTTTTGTAGTTTCTATGTAGTAAACAATACTTTTTGTAACAGTTTAATCCTTAATGTTGTACATCCTGTGTGTATTAAGCAATGTGTAAGCGTTTGAACCTGCATAGGCACATAAATAATGCGCTCTGCGCTGGACTTTAGACCTGCTTTTACTTGGTCAATTGCACAGTCTATTTCAGTTTCTCAAAATAGCAAAGCACTAACAATATGTCTTCTTAACACACCTTTTTTTATAGACCGGTACACCCAAGAGTCCACAAAGTGGCGCAAATGGATTTGCTATTCAAACAACGTAGCGCAAAATGTGAAAATTAGGGTTGCACTGGTCTAAAAATAGAAACAAATCAGTGTATGATTGGGCCCAGAGTTTTTATTTTGTTTTTGGTCCAAATATCAAAAAATTCTTAAATCAAGATACATTTTCTAGACAAGCAACAAATATTTTCTGGTAATAATATGTGAAAATTAGATGAGTTTACCCCTAAAACTCGCAAAATAATCTGCCAATGGAATAAGCTAAACAATCTTGTAATTAATAATAACAATAATTATTAATGTTTAGATATTTCGATTAGAAACTGGACAAAAACTTCAAGTAAGAAAAGCAATTTCTGCACTGCACTCAAGCACTCCTTAGAAAATAGACAAATCTTCTCTCGCTACATGTTATATGTCTGTTTTACGAAGTAATTTTCCTTCTTTTTTCGCACCAGCTGCAATGTAGCATCTAATTTTCTGCCCATTTGTTCCTTCCAAAACATTCATATGTGCATTCTGGGTCATTGGCTTTGGCGATAGGGCTAGTTTTGTGCTTAGCAGTGAGTTTAATCAGCATGGCGTGTTTGAGGCTGGCCAGATAAACACACACACACATACACTGACACCCCAGAGATGGCAGGTTGTGTTAGCGCTATGTTTGGACACCTGGAACAGCCGGAGCATAAGAGAGTTGCCTTTACCACTCCACGCCTCAGCACCTTCTCACAACACATGTGTGTCTTCTGAGACCCAATCTCACAATTTACCTCTTCAAATTCACTTCCAAATCACACCCTGGTGCAGCTCTTGGTTTAGGAAGCTTGTCATTTGGAACAGGAGCTCATATGGTGTTGAGTTTGTAGGGATTGTCTCATTAGATCTGCGGAAAGCTGAGATGGTCTGTGTGTTTTGCAGGTATTACGAGGAGTTTGAGATTAATGTGAAAACGGGTGAATCCAACCTCACCCAACTCTATTTGAAGGTGAGTTTTCCTGCTCGTTGGCTTGATTAATGTTTATTTGTGTGGATCAGACATGGACAGATGCACTGCAGGATTTGCCTGATATAGGTTTTGATCCTATCTGTCTATAGGAAGGCTTGGACTTTATCTCTCAGCAAGCCATGGCCCAGAGGCCCTTCTTTCTCTACTGGGCTCCAGATGCAACCCATGCACCTGTCTACGCCTCAAAACCCTTCTTGGGAAAGAGTCAGAGGGGACGGTAGGCCAGAATTACAGTATTAAAAAGTATAAAACTGCACAGTGTAACTTTATTAGTATGTTGGAGTGGAATATTTATTGATAAATTATGATTAGCAGAATATCTATCAGTTTTGCAAAGTGGGTGCAATAAGTCATATTTTTGTGTGCCTAAATCGAATGCATAGGATGTTTATCCAACTGTAACCAATCAGATTGTCGCTCACAGTCTTTTTACCCACCTCCCCAGTATAGGTGCGGTTCTGCTATTGGCTAGACTGGGTCCAGAGAGCTGAAAATAAATATTAATGGCAGGAGTAAAAAAAATCAAGTCAAGTAGAAAAATCAAGTCAAGTTTTCAGTCATTTGTCTTCTTTAAAAGTCTAAATGTTTGCACCTTGACATGTTTTTTGTTTGTTTGTTTGTTTGCTTATTTGTTTTTTGCTGGAATTAGATTTAATTTGGTCATAAAAATATTAATTATTTGTTTATTTTAGTGTTATAATTACATTTAAAAAGCTATTTAAAAAGAATTTCTCAAGGCAAATGTTATATCGCAAGAAATATTATTACAACAATACTTCTCATCATCAAACAAATTTAAATAATAGTCAAAGATAACACAAGTAAACACATCATGCAGTTTTAAAATAAAGTTTTTTTTAATTATTATTAAAGGAAAACAAAATACAGAACAACATAGCCCTGTGTGGAAAAAGTGTTATTAACAGGTTGTGCCATCCTTAGCAGCAACAACTGCAATCAAGCATTTTTAATAACTTGCATAGAGTCTGTTGCAGCTCTGTGAAGGAATTTTGGCCCACTCATATTGGCAGAATTCAGGTAATTTAATCACTGGAGGGTTTTTGAGTGTGAACCACCTTTTTAGGTCATGCGACAGAATCTCAATTGGATTTAGGTCAGGACTTTGACTAAGCCACTCCAAAGTCTTCATTTAGTTTTATCTTCAGCTATTTGAGACTTGCTCTTGTGCTTTGGATCAAAAAATTGCATTTCCCTGTAATCTGTTTCTACTTTTTATATGTGTAATTTATGTACAATACTGTCTAAAGGTAAAGTGCAGTAACTGCACATTTAGACAAAATGACACATGTGCAGACTGCAAGATTTGAGATCCGTGGTACAGCACAAACAGCAAATGCCACACAATGTGAACTATCAAAGAAGTGAGAGAATCACCAATGAGTCACAGACACCTGTCAGATGTTAGGCATTCTAAATATCTGGAGCTTTTGCAATTTAAAATCATGCCATCTGAAATGTGTACTAATTGAAAATAACATCGGCAGTTACCTACAGCCAATGAGAGAGCAGCATCCACTAATGTGGGTATCTGCAGGCCAGCGGGAAGCTGGAGGAGAAGTTAAAAGTGCTGATTTTCAGTTCATTTTGACCCAAGAAATGGAGGAAAAACTAGTGTAGTTTGGCTGCAGCACCGTGTCTGTTTGACGTGTCATCTGAGCAATATCACAACTGGGATGACAAGGAAAAAAGTTGAGGCGAAATTGCTAATTACCTTCAAAGGCCAGGGGCTTCATGTACGAAGACTTGCGTTGAATTCATACCAAAACATTTATGTGCGTACACACATTTACAGCTTTGTGCGTACGCAGTAAAAAATTCAGTGAAACTGAGCGCACATGCAAGAGCGCAAAACCCCTCCCTGCCTCCTCCCCTAAAAAATATGGTAATGGCTCTACTTTGGCAAAACCAAATGAAAAAGCAATGGCAAAAGCAAGCAAAAAGAGAAACTTTGAACAGAATGTGAATTGGAGGTGCTCCTATCGGAGGTAGACTGGAGAAAAACTGTGTTATTTGCAAGTTCAAGTTGGAATGAGCTAGTTGAGGGATTTTCGCTCGCTTAATTGAATGAGACAACAAAGCTAAAGAGAGCGGACATCAGCAGCACGAGTGGCATAGCTCATAAAGCACATGGCAACATGTTTTGACACTATCATTCGAATCCAGCGTCTGATGAACTCATTCTTCTTTTTTCCCCATTACATATCAGATTTTGCCTACTCTTCATCACAAGGAAGGCAAGTAGGAATCATTAATAAGTGTGTGTATTATCTTCAGCGCATTTGAACTTCACATATTATTTGCACATTTATTGAATGGAAATGTTTCAGATTCACGTATTCAAATTCATCCTCAGATGGCGCCCTTACAGCATTGTGCGTGCAGTAGATCGCTCCGATTAAATTGGGAAAACCGGCGATGGCTGCAAGTTGCGCTTTAATGTTTGGCTGGTCAACTGCATGGTATGGAAACCTTATATATCTGCTAGACATGCAGATGATCCATTCCCATACAGCTGCCATTGCACGGCTCAAAGATACTTTGTAGTGTGCAATTTAACGCAATTGTCTCTAAGAGTCGCCAATGGAAATAAAACAAACACACAAGAAATGCAGGTACGCCAGGCATGAAGTTGGCGTGGACCAACACACATTCTCACGTTCATTTCATCGTTAATAAATCCAAACATGAGCGTGAAACCTGGTGTACGCAAAGTTTTTGTGCGTACGCAGCATTGATACATAAGACTCCAGGTGAGCAAAATAAGAACATTTTCTACCCCATTAAAGGCTTCTTTCTCATCATGTAGTTACTAATGAAAGATATACTACATGATCTTGTTTTGTTTCCATGTCACTTCTCACGTGTGTTTGGTTGTGAGACGTAATTTGTGGACCGTTTTTTTTTTTTTTTTTAATTATTCAATTTTAAAGTCATGCAGTGTAAAACACAACTTGAGGGTTTTTTAGCATGAACCGCCTTTTTAGGTGATGCAGCAGAATCTCAATTGGATTCAGGTCAGGACTTTGACTAAGCCACTTCAAAATCTGTATTTTGTTTTTATTCAGCCAATCCAGACTTGGTGGTGTGCTTTGGATTATAAAATTGAAACCTTTACCTGTAATGGGTTTCTGCTGTTTATTTGTGTAATGTATGTGCATTAATGTCCAAAGGCGAAGTGCAGTAACTATACATTTGTACAAAATTACATGTGTGCACACTCCAGGATTTGATATCCATGCACACACAACACTCACTACAAGATATTATTAAGATTATCATTCTCGATGGAGAGAATCACCTGATCACAGAATAACTTTTTGTATCAGTACTAATTATTACTTATTATAAAGGTGAGCTGCAAATGATTTTTCTCTCAGAAGTGCGCGTTGGGCTCTAAAACTCGATTTATTTTTTCATTTTGAAGACATTTTTAAAGTGACCGCACAGGGGCTAGACAGACTTGGTGCATCGGACCAGGGGCTCATCTCCTGTGTTTAAAATGCATCACAAACTGTTCTACTGTGATAATTAGTGATGAAAATAAATGATGTTCAATAAGATGTACTTGTGTTTACTAACTGCTTATTCAGCTACACATGAATTTTAAACTGTAGGCCTACATAAGCTCCAAACAGCCATTTTTGATCACCTTAATCCGACTAAAGTCACAACTTAACTAAACAGCAATAGAATTAAGAGGTGGAGTATGCATATATTGTGGCATATATATATATATATATATATATATATATATATATATATATATATATATATGGCATTATTGAAGTAAACACCGCAATCAAACTATTACCATCATGTAGGACTTTTCGCTATAATTTCCGACAAGATCTACACGCGTGGCTGTCACTGAAGGATCGCACGCACACACATGCACGTACACACACACACATTGTGGAATGCGGTTTTGTGTGAAGCTTATTACGGGGGCAGGCATGAAATGCTCATGAGTGAATGTAAAACTGCCGAACTGCTGTTAAAGTCACCCAAAATTACAGGGAAACCCAACCCTTACATGAAAGCACTTCACGTAAACACCTTAATAATATAATTGTTTATTAAGGCAAATAACTAGATTACAGATGTCCATGCAAACTTAGTCAGTACTGTGTTTTTTTTTTTTGTCAGACGGCTCACAGGTCAGGTATACATCCGCACTAAAATATCAAGGTGAAAGTCATCATAGCTTGCGTAGAATTGGCTCAGCTCCCAACATAACTTTGAGAATAGATTAACGGCAATATTTTTTTAATCGGCCGATAAGAGTTTTGCGTTACCGTCAATAACGGCCCACCACTAATATTTAACTATTAAAACTGACACTATACACCCCAGCTCTTCTTTTTGGTGATGCAGTTATAGTATCAGCGTGAACGTCTGATTGAGTAATTGACTTTATTCATTTCCCGATTTAAAATCGTGACTATCAAACATATTTTTTGTTGGAGAAAATCGCTAGGTGCAAGGATCTAGAAAAGTTTTACATTACCAGGTAATCTACACTGAGAAAATTAAATATGAATAAATTAGAGGCATTTCCTTTTCGGTTTTAGTGTTTGCATAGTTCCTGCTCTTTTCTTTTTGATTTAAAATGACCATACAGAACAACTTTTAAAAAGTAATTATAAAATAAATAAATAAATAAGTTAATATGTTATGTAATGTAATGTGCATTTATGTAGCATATTTATCATGTATGGCCAGACACCCAAAGTGCTTCAATCATGAGGGGGATCTCTCCAAACCACCCCCAGTGTGCAGCATACTCTTAGATGGTGCGACGGCAGCCACATGACAATGGTACCAGTGTGCTCACCCCACACCAGCTATTGGTGGAGTAGAGAGACAGTGATAGAGCTAATTCAATATGAATGGGGAAATTTGGCCAGGACACTGGGGTTACACCCCTACACTTTACGAGAAGTGCCATGGGATTTGTAATGACCACAGAGAGTCATGACCTCGGTTTAACATTTCATCCAAAAGACGGCGCTCGCTAACAATATAGTGCCCCCTTCAAATTAATGGGACATTATGACTCACACAGACCACAGGTTGAGTGCCCCCTGCTGGCCTAACTAACACCACTTCCAACAGCAATAGTTTTCCCATGTAGTCTCCCATCCAGGTACCAGGATCTGCCCCGCTTAGCTTCAGTGAGTAAGCAGTCTTGGGCTGCGGGTTAATATGGCTGTGGCCAGTTCATATTAGAGGCATTTTCACACTTTAAGTGTTTTAAGTTCCTGCTATTTGCTGTTGTATTAAAAATGACCATACATAGCAACTTTTAAAATGTAAGTATACAACAGCCCTTATAAATGCAAAAAAATACAAAAAAAAAAAATTCTCGAAATAAATTCTAATTGGGAAATACTATCCATTATGTAAAAGTTAATTTCTGACATTGATTGGAAGTTTGTACATTAGAAGGTTTCGTTTTTACATACTAAAAGTCTAGACGCTTGAATAATTTAGAGAAATCTATAAAACATTATAGATTTAGAAACATCAGCCATCATCTCACTTAACAATTATCCAGCTATACTCTTAACAATTGCTGTTTGGTCCCAAAAACCAGCATCTGCACATTCTGGTGTTATAGCAAGCACTATTTAATGAGAGTTATTTTTCATGCTCTGAGGCAAGACTAAAGGCAGAGGGCTTCATTGGCAGTCTTGTCTGCAACTGTTTAGTATTCGGCCTGGTGCTTCGGAATACTGGGGCTTCAGTAAGCATACGTTTCTTCTGAATGCTAAATGAGGTTTGTGTTGACAGAGGAATGGATCAAGGCTGAGGGGTATTAGCCAGGTGCTGGCAGTAGAGGGATTCAGCCTGACACGCCACGTCTTAAAATTTTATAACCGCTGCACATCTATCTGAGCCATCTATCTTCCCCTATATATCACATCCGTCTGTCACAGGACAGGTTTTCAAACGTGGGCTAATTTGACAGAATTTGTTATGCCGTCTGAGTTAGAGCAGCTGAACAGGTTATCTAAGGGTAATTTTCAATAGTTTGATTGCTGTGGTAAGACGCAATGTAATTTTGTTTCATAGTTATGGTGATGCAGTAATGGAGCTGGATGACAGCATTGGTCAGATTTTGGCTCATCTGGTCAGTCTGGGCATCCAAAACGACACTCTGGTGTTCTTCACCTCGGATAATGGAGCAGCACTGATGTCTGGACCACTGCAAAGTAGGAGATCTGTTCACACTTTTCCAACTCAAACATTAACACATCTAATTGTCCGTTTCCACTGAGTGGTACAGTACGGTACGGTTCGATACGGGTCACCTTTATCAGGATTGTGTTTCCACTGCCAAAAGGGAAAGTTTCAGACAACGTCATTCTCACTCAAGGACATGTCAAAGTAAAGCTGTAAAGGTCTTTCCCATTTCATATGAGAAGCTCTTCTCACAAAAAAGATGCTTTATACACATAAATACTTGTGTATAAATGTTCATTGCTAACCTATCTATGAACATAATTTGATTATAACTGCAGATCAGTAGCCTACTGTAACATCTGTGATTACATAAAATAAATAAATAAATAAATAAATGCAACATATATGAACACATACAAACCCTTACAGTCTCCAATTACAGAAAATCTACACACAGCAAACACTTAGTCCTTATTTGGGTCCAAAAACAACACGCAACATAGCCCACAGTCAGTGCAAACCTCTCATCTGCATTTTTAATCTTCACCAGCACATGTAACCTGTTAGAAAGTTATTTTGTCATTCCGAGTTTATAATAGTCTAAAAGGCGATGATAATAGTTAAAAATGGCCGTTTGTTCATGTTTTAGGTTGCTGAAACAATCATTTGCTCCTTTGTATTTTCCAGCTCCTCCTTTGTTTTTTCATGCTTCACTCTTGTGTTTGTTCGTTTCTGAAAGGATTAGGTGTCAGAAGCACTTCAATAATCATGTGCACGTTATTATTATTAGCTCAAGAAGTTCTTTATTTCAAATATAGACACGTAACGAGCTCTCTAGAAAAAAATTAAGCTGCTGGCACTTTTAGACGGCCTCGTAAAACAACAAAAAGACACGGCAGGTTTTGTTCTTCTTGGCTTTGTGGCTGTTCATCAAAATGACAATAAGGTATGTTTGAACTCGGGTTGACCATGGCTTGGTATTATATGTACAGTTGAAGTCAGAATTATTAGCCCCTGTTTATTTTTTTTCCCTGATTTCTGCTTAACGGAGAGAAGATTTTTTCAACACATTTCTAAACATAATAGTTTTAGTAACTCATCTCTAATAACTATTTTATTTAATCTTTGCCATGATGACAGAAAATAGTATTTGACTAGATATTTTTCAAGACACTTCTATGCAGCTTAAAGTGACATTTAAAGGCTTAACTAGGTTAATTAGGTTAACTAGGCAGGATAGGGTAATTAGGCAAGTTATTGTATAATATGGTTTGTTCTGACTAACAAAAAAATAGCTTAAAGGGGCTAATAATTTTGTCCTTAAAATGGTGTTTAAAAAATTAAAACTGCTTTTATTGTAGCCGAAATAAAACAAATAAAACTTTCTCCAGAAGACAAAATATTATCAGATATACTGTGAAATCCTTGCTCTGTTAAACATCATTTAGGAAATTTTAAAGAAATGAAAGAAAAAGGGGGGCTAATAATTTTGACTTTAACTGTTTATATTATTATGATATAATTTCTCGGCTGTGATTTCTAAAATGGAGCTTACTTTGTTTTTATTCTCCTGCTTGTGTACGTGCTAGTGACGTTCTTTGTAAGCCACTAGTGTTCTGCTGCATATCTTGCTCTGCCTTTTGGTACCCTTTTGTTGTGCTAGGTTGTGCTAAAAAGTGGTACAGTACAGTTTGCTTTTTGGTATCTTTTGACAGTGGAAACGGCCATTAAAGCATACTGAATCGTACAGTACCGTATGACTCAGTGGAAACAGGCCATAATAATTTGATTTAAATGGTTTATTAATCATTTGCTAACTCATTCTGAATGATCCATCAGGATGTCATTTAGAAGGGATTTATAAAGCAAAAATAGTCCTCACTTTAGGTTGGGTCACAAAGCTGGATGAAGTTGAGTTATTAAAGCATTTATTAACATGCAAATTAACTATTAGTATATGCCTAACTATTAAGATTTAAGATTTAATATGCCTAAATAATAAGATTTAAAAGATGCATACTTAACTTGATAAGATGGTCCTGATTGCACATTTTGATGACTAAAAGTTGCATTGCAGTTATTTGCCAATTACTTCTCATTTGAGTATTAGTAGACTGTCTGCTTAATATCTGTTGATAGGCTACCTTAACAGAAATTTAACTGATTTTAAGAAACTTTGCAAGTACATGTCAACTTACACTAACCCCAACCTAACAATTTACTTGTAATCTAATGAAAATTAGTTGGCATGTAGATGCAATGTAACCTAAATGCAACAAAATGCGTTAAAGAGACCATCAAAATAAAGTGATTCCATGAAAACATAATGATTAATAAAGTATGAAAATACTGTACAACCATTAAGCACATTATACATAAATCAGTCAAAAAGGAACATTTGTATCTGCAGTAATAAACTGCTTACTAACATCTATTAATGTAGAGTTAATGCTTAACAAATAATGAATGAACTGTTTGCTAAAGCTTAATAAATCATTCATAGTGTGTAGTTGTTATAAAGTGTTCCCAAAAATGCTTCTTGATTTATTTTTTCGATAGTTTGACTAGAAACAAGACTAGAAACTTTTATCAAAAAATAAAAGTAATAAAAACTTTTTTTTTTTTTTTCCGTGCTCCTGCTCACACAATCTGTCTTACTGTTTGTACACTCCCAATACACTTTTTCAATTTTTTTATTTTGTCAATATTATTTTATAAATTGCTATCACTGTACCCCTTATTCAATATTTTTAATTTGACTTTTTATTTATTTTTTATCCTAAGGTGGCAGTAATGCCCCATTCCTCTGTGGGAAGGAGACTACGTTTGAAGGTGGGATGAGGGAACCAGCCATGGCCTGGTGGCCTGGACAGATTCCTGCTGGCACGGTGGGAATAATTCAAACTATTTCACTCCAATGCAAAAAGTCCCATCTTCATCGCACTCCATCTTTCCACACCCCATTCCACAGCACATAACATATTCTTAGGTGTTAAATTGTTCCATCAAAGGTTTTCATAGTGCTGCGGTTCTCGACCCTTGTCCTCGCGGCCCTACACTCTGCTTATTTTGCATGTCTCTATTATTTAACAGACTTGATTTAGATAAGCAGCTCATTAGAAGAAAGCTCTAATGAACTGTGTTGAGATCGACATGTTCCCTACACATTATTGTTCACTCCTTTCTACCTTCTGCACATGAGAAATTGTCTGAACTAGAGGTTTACTTCATTTACACACACAAAAAAAGAGAGATTTGCGCTACACCACAGTTTGTAGCATTTTCAGTTATCATTAAATTATTAAATATGGGTTATTTAACCATAATCTATGTTGGGAGTAATGCATTGCAAGTTACGGGAGTTGCTTAATAATATTACTTTTATAAGTAATCAGTAAAGAAATACATTACTTTAAAATTCAGTAAAAATATTTAATTGAGTTTTTTTATGTAATGCAAGTTTCATTAATTAATTTCATTTTAGCAGTCCTAATTAGATCATTTGGCCTAGCCATTGGTCTGTGGGTGGTACCGGTAGAAAGGCTAGCTGTCGCCCCAGCTGTTGGCAGAACTGTTTGAAACCACGTCAACCAGAAGTCCACGAATACTTAGAACATGGTCCAAGACAATAGCTGCTGTCTCCTTTGCTGAAGTTAATTTGGTGAGGGGAATAAAGTATGCCGCCTTCGAAAATCTGTCCACCACAGTGAGGACTATGGTGTTGCCACTGGATGGGGGTAACCCAGTGACAAAGTCCATCGATATGTTTGACCAGGGTCATGAAGAGACAGGCAGTGGCCGGAAAAGCCCTGCTGTGGGTTGATTAGAATTCTTAGCTACCGCACAGACCGGGCAAGGCAACACAAACTCACTAATGTTCCACACTATCGAGAGCCACCAGAACCATTGCTTGATTAAACCAATAGTGTGATCTGCTCCTGGGTGGCTGGCTAGCTCGGATGGGTGACCCCACTGTAAAACCTTGGTCCAGACCAACTGTCCACTTCAATAGTACGAAATGCCTTACGAATCATGGACTCCAGCCCCCCAGGTTATCCCTGCAACCACTCGTTCAGGTGACAGAACAGCAACTGGAAGGGTGGGTTTAAGTTCAACCTGCCTTAAACGTGACAGGGCATCTGCCTTTTCATTCTTGAACCCCTGGTGGTAAGAGATGTGGAAATCAAACCGGTCATAGTATAGTGCCCAATGAGCTTGACAAGAATTAAGTCAATTGCCGGACCTAATGTATTCTAGATTTTCATGGTCTGTCCAGACCATGAGCTTTTAGGCTATTTAAGCTTTTACAAATCAAACTGTTGGCTCCTCGAGTTACATGGCTAGCTAGAAAGATATAGAAGCAAACACTCACGATATTGAAATTCAGGCTCTGAGAGTGAGATTTGCGGAATTAAAGACAAACTTGGCCCGATAGTAACACTCATGCTACACAATTGGACTTGAACAGTCAAATATCTCAAATTGGACAAAGAAGTTGGAATACTTAGGTGGAAAAAATGAATTGCTAAATTAAAAATAACATAGTAGAGCACCCAATGACAGAATGGAGGAACAGACAGAAACCAAGATGGCAGAGCTATGTGGTTTTTTAAAGGTAAAGGAAGGTGAAGGTTATACAGTGTGTTAATTGCAGAACTCCTCTAGTAAAAAAATAAATAAATAAAGTTCTGAAAGATCAAGCCTCAGCCAGCTAAGAAAAAGTAATGTAATGCATTAAGTAATTCAACTAGTTATTTTTTGGGGGGAGTAACTCAATATAGTAATGCATCACTTTCAAAGAGAACTTTCCTCAACACTGACCACAATTATATGAGTAGCATAGAAGTCGCATCTTGAGTTTGCATGTTCTCCTCTTGTTGGCATGTGTTTCCTCCACATGCTCCGGTTACCCCGCAGTCCAAAGACAGATGAATTGGATAAACGGAATTTTCCGTAATGTGTGACTGGGAGAATGCATGGGTGTTTTCTAACCCTGAGAGTACAAATTGAGATGGATGGGCATCTGCTGTGTAAATTGATGGTTCATTCCGCTGTGGCGACCCCTGATGAATAAGCCTAAGGAAAATTTGCAAATAATTGGCCCTACACTGCTGTTTACAACATTTTTTAATTATTTAATAGTGGTTATATAACTGTAATCAGTGTTGAGTGTAATGCCTCACAAGTTTCATGAGTTACATAATAATATTACTTTTATAAACAATGAGTAAAGTAAAATAATAAAGCATTTCTTTAAAAAAAAATCTGTAATAATACATATTTGAGTGACTTTTTAAAAAATGTATTGCGAGTTACTTTTTACTTGAATTAATTAGCTTTAAAAAATTGTTGAATTAAAAATAACATAGTAATGCATGAAAATGCAAAAGCAGGCGGAAACCAAGGTGGCAGAGCAATGTGGGTTTCTTTAAAGGTAAATGGAGGTGTGGGTTATACAGTGTGATGTTAATTGCAGAGCTCCTCTATTTACAAAAAAATAGTGAAGGAGATCATGCCTTAGCCAGGTAAGAAAAGTATTGCACGAGTAACTTCAAAGTATGGTAATGCATTACTTTCCAGAAAAAGTAATCATTTTATTTCTGTAAAATAACAGAAAATGTACTGGAAGCTTATTACCAGGTTTTTGTACCATAATCTACAACACAAACCCAGACAATATAGATCACTTTAAACTATTAAAAACGTGAATAAAAGAAAGTTGAGTTGGAGGAGTAGGAAGTGTATCCTTTTAGTTACAGTAGGTATTTGTTTTCTGCCTTGTTCATTCATTCATTTTCTTCTCGGCTTAGTGCCTTTATTAATCCGGGGTCGCCACAGCGGAATGAACCGCCAACTTATCCAGCAAGTTTTAACACAGCGAATGCCCTTCCAGCTGCAACCCATCTCTGGGAAACACCCACACACACATTCACACACTCATACACTACAGACAGTTTAGCCTACCCAATTCACCTGTACCGCATGTCTTTGGACTGTGGGGAAACCCACGTGAAGGCAGGGAGAACATGCAAACTCCACACAAAAACGCCAACTGAGCCAAGGTTTGAACCAGGGACCCAGCGACCGTCTTGCTGTGAGGCGACAGCACTACCTACTGCGCCACTGCCTTGCCCTCTGCCTTGTATTAGTTATATTTATTTTGTTAGCATTATTTCTTGTGGATAGTAAATGCAACAATCTCATTCTTTCAGGCTGTGTGTGTGAAATTGAAACTTTGGACAGTCAACCTTTAGCAGTTGGTCAATTAACAAATTTTATTTTATATATTTATTTATTTTAATTATGTTCCTTCTCTCAGCTGTTCCTTCCATTTGCTGATGGTAGAAATACATAACTGAAGTGACGCTTAATTAGTATTTTGCACTTTAAAAATATATATTTTTGTTTATTTAATTAAGATATTTTTCTTAATATGTATTCTTTATTTCTTTTTTTATATATTCTTTTGTAAAAGGTTCATATGTATGCAACCAGTAGTTGATAATTATTATTTTTTTATATATATATATACTTACTGTTGGTGACTTTTGTTCTCAGTTTGATCTAGCCGTTCATACATTCCACTCAATGAAATTGGCAAAAGTAAAGTATTTATGATTTGTGCTGATTATTGTATCGGATTTGTATCGGTATCTGTTTGTACTGAATGCTGCAATAACGGTATCGTATCGGAAGTTAAAACGTTGTATCAGGGCCTCCATAGTTTAAGGTGATATATTGTCTGGGTTGGTGTTGTAAAATACAGCACAAAAACCTGGGAAAAAGCTGCCAGTACATTTTCTGTTATTTTACTTAGTTCTCTATATAACTTGTGAATTAACAGATATTTGTTACAGTGCATTTTATAATCAAAAGGAGTCATTTTAATGTGCTCATCTGTTGGCATGATTTCAGTGCTCTCGCAAACATGTCCACTTTGCTTTGATCAGATGCTGTTGTCTCACCACTGCCAATTATAATATTTAGCATGTAGCACAACTGCATACTGTTTACATATTCATTTAAACATCACATTCTAAGAAGCATTAGCAATATCAGGATTATAGATTTAAGTATCACCAGCCAGTGATGACACTAATAACCAATTATAATAAGTGTTTCCCTATACTGCCCTGCTTCCATTTTTTTAATAAAATCTTAATACCAAGTAATATCTATGAGATTCATTTTCATTTCAAGTCTTCACCTTAATCATTTTCAATCACTGAATTCCTTCTAAATCAAACTTTGTTCGTTTTATTTTTAATATTCCCTGTTCTTCTTTCCTTCCTCTATTTTTATTTATTTACTTATTTTACTTATTTGGGTAAGAAGCTTCCCATTCCTGATCCACTGAAGCTTTGTGCTCCGTAAATGACCTTCAATGCCAATTAAGTCTAATCAGATGTCAATTAGGTTAACCTTTTTACAAATTAAGATAGATTGAACATAATTAAGTTGTTGCAAAAAAGACTGAACAAACAACAAACATTAACAGACTATTCGACTTCCAATTCATTTACATACAAACCCCCTCAGTTCAAACTGAATCATAGAAAGATTTTATCTTTTATTAAAATAGCCTCTTCGAATTACTTTACTTATGTTATTTGGCCATTACTGTCTCTTTCCAGTGCCAAAGGTGATTTAAAAAGCAGAGAGTTCACTCAAAAATGTACATTTTCTTACTATTTACTCACCCTTCCAGATTGTCATGGGTTTCTTTCTTCTGTTGAATACACAAGAAAATATTTTAAAGAATGTTGGAACCATTGACATTAGGGCTGCACAAATTTGACATTGCAGTATTTTGTTTTGCTGCCATTTATTTTGAGATATAGATATAATTTCACTAGATACCAAGAATAGTTCCACTTGGAAAGAATTC